TAAATTATCGAGCCCGGTCGACGATTCACAAGCTTAATTGCTTCGCTTCGGAAAAATATTGCCGCCAAAAATGATTATTAATATAATTTTCGCATACTAATTGGCCGGACGAGGATCTCGTTTTGATCTCTTCATTCATTATTTGGTCCATTAAAGTGGTAATGGGAGGTGTGCGAGGTTTAAACGCACTTAAATGCCCCTGCTGGTGCAGTAGCATCTGCATCAAGTGGATGTTTTCGCTAAATGTCTCATTATTTAACGTGGTTTTCCGATACCTAAATTGTAAGTGCTTCTTAAAGTAGCCTAAAGGATAATAATTACAGACTAAGTATTCAGAAATAAAATCCGATAGCACTGAACTGAAATAAATCGCCTAAAAGTCGGTGAGCATTCGTTCTTTAGCAAAATATGGTTTTCCGAACATTATAAAATAGAAAAGTGAACGCTTGCATCTCGACATTCTTGGTTTACCAGTATCTAGTTTACTTTCGAAGATACAGAAATTAATTGGAAACAATCATATTTTTTTTTAGTTTTCTCGAGACTTTTATGAAATCTACAGACCATCTTAATACTCGAGAGTTGAATGACCTCCAACTGTGAGTGGGCAGAGGCGTGCGTAATGTTTTTTCCCGTTATAAATCTCGTATAAGTAAACATTGTGAATACATGCAAACATTGTGAAGGTCATTGATGAATTATAAAAACAATGGTCCTAAGTTGAAACCCTGAGGCACCCCAGAGTTGTCAAATTGATATTATGTATGAAGATTTACACTGACGAGAATAATCGTGCACAACCTTCAGCTGTTTCAGTTTCAGCAATATTTTTATTGTTTAAAAAATACGTTTAGACATTAGCTTTTCTATTACTAATATTTATGAGTTGAATAATGTATATTTTTAAATTATTTAAAATGAATTACAATGCCATTCTATAGTGTTTATAAGATCATTGGGTTTCTTAAAAATCACCCTGATAAGTTGATAAGTAGAATTATAAAAAGATTAAAGGGAAAAAGTGAAGGTATTCTGTGTATTTATATAGAATGCTCGAAAGTTATGGATAACCAAAAAATATATATATGGATAACCAAAATATTGATATGCTCCGGAAATTGAAACGGTAATTGTTTTTTTAACGATAACTTCCTTAATTTTAAAACTATTAAGACGATTCAAAAACGATTTTACGGAAAATTTCGACAGCTAAAAAGTACTGCAAATTTGAATATTTTTTAACGCGTTATTTTTGAGATTTTTTTTTAAAAACATGACGTGCGCCCTCAACTGAAAAATTCTAGCAGCGACATCTCTGTTAATTTTTATCCTACACAAATAAAAAAACCCAAAATGTTCTGTTAAAAAAATCTAAACTTTTGTACCCTTGATTATTTTTCGTATCTTTTTTATTTTTAGTTATTTTCAAAAATATGCTATTTTTTGGAATTAAAAAAAAATGTTCAATCAAAACGTGTTATTTTAAAAACATACATTCTAAACCGCTTAAACTTGTATTACACTTAATATATTGTTAGCACATAAAAAATGTAAATTGTACAAGGATTAGCATTAATTTTAAACCTCGTGAAAAATACATCAGTTTTTGTACGGATTTTTTTCCGAAACACGAATGTCAAGTTCATTTTAAAGATTTTTTAAAGTAGTTAAAAAATGTTCTGTGCATTTTTCTTGAAAAATAGATTTTTTTTAGTTATTTTACGTTAAATGCTTCCAATTTAGTTTCTGGCGGACATGAAATTATCTTCAACCAGCCGTATCTCAGCACCTATTGCACCTACATAAATGAAAAAAACACAATCTTTTTCTTTTTCTATAAGCTTCATTTTCTTCGTGATGTTTTTTTTTTCATAGAATCTCTATTTTCCGAGTTATTCGAGAAAAACTACTGAAAAACTTTTTTTTTTAATAAAAAATGTAGATTTTCAATCATCAATAACTCAGAAAATATTGACTTATCGAAAAATGTTTATAAGAAACTTTTTGCTCAAAATTGATTGCTTTATCGATTCCTTTATCGAAATAATCGATAAAGATAAAAAAATCTCAGTTAGTAAAAATACTTTTAACCACATTTCAATTACTATAAAGCAATAAGGTGAATGAGGTTATGTTCATGTTAGACGTTACGTTAGATTATCAAAAGGATGCTTGGTCGATGAGAGGTTTGTCTGCGATTTTGACTACATAAAACAAAGCAAAAGGTCACTCGGTCACTCCTAATCGCTCTAGGAGCAGTTGAGTCGCAAACGGTATTAGTACTGTTTGTTGCCATACCCTAATTTCGCCACGCTACCTCTCCGTCTGACATAAGACACCACCGAAGTCTTCGATGGCTATCATTCACGACTCCCGGCATTAATTACGTGCGGCAACTAGCGCCGAACCGAAACCGCGTGCATTAACGTGCGGTTGATGTGCTCCCGACTCGCTGCGAAATAGACACGGCATAGGTACATCAGCATTTGTCAAATGTCACGCGATTAGCCGGCTTCCCGGGACCCCGGGCCTCTAGAGCCGGGCTTAGAGTTGACGCTCGCAATGATTTGTTGGAGTTTGGGAGCGCCGCGCCACCGCGAGCCCTGAATAATCGGCGGTGTCACTGCGAATCGTCCCTGCCGGATCGTGCACATGCATTTTTACCGATGCAAATCGACCCCCGCCGAACGGCTCAAGGGCTTAGTGGGGTCGGAGAGCGGGGCAATTTGTCAAGCGGGAGTCTCGAGGTGTCAGCGGGACTACGAGAGGTTACCGTGAAACAGTACAGTACAAAATATACCAATTGTTGACAAAAATGTGTCATTAAATGTAAAATAGGAAGGTGTTAAAAAAGTTGAAAAAATGCAAAGAATATTGTAAAAAAATAAGGAATTAGAACATACGGTCGGAGATGAAATTTTCACTCAACTTTCTAAGCGGAATCAAGAAGCCGTCTTTAAACGCTCTACTAGTGATTAGGCTTGCCAGGTTTCCGGGTTTGACCCGGAGTCTTCGGGTTTTGAAACATCAGTTTCTCCGGGTCTGTCATGAAATAGATCTGGCAACCCTACTAGTGATCGAGGCAGAGCAGCCGCTGACGGCAAAAATGTGCTACAAACAAAATTTCATCTCAGTTTCGAATTTTGGAAAATAAAATCTCTCCGAAAAATGCGAAATTCGAACTGGAGAATCGCAATACAAAATCACAGTATCACGTTCGACTATTAAGTCCATCCCGTTCTAGACGTCAACAATCCAAAGATGGTAAAAATCCAGAGAGGCCAATTGTCCAGAACGAAGGCGGGCTTTGCTACTGGACCTCTGCGAACTTATCGAGGAAATTGATCGAACATCGACCCGTATCTTACAGTTCACTAAACAGTCAACATACACATAATAATTTATTGTTATTAGCAGAATTTCAATAAATCCTTTTTTAATAATTCAGAACATTGTTAAAAATTTTTACGTGCGCATTGCTCCCAATCTAGACCTCAGTTCTAGAGCCCTATCCACCCAAGCATTGTATAATTCTGCGGTGAAGATCCCAAGGAGTACAGAACAGAAGGCTCCTATAGTAGCTTCCTAAATTCATAGGTCTACAAAAGCTCCAAGAAGCTTCCAAATTTCGAGGTACTCACAGGAGACTTCAAAAACAGTGGCGATGTAGATGCAAGAGTAATTCGAAGCGCCCAAAAAAACATATTCAGTGCATTTAGGTTCAGTTAAAAGCCCCCAGAAATAGGCCAGTGGAACGTCCACACCACTAAGCATACAACATCCCAAGTAAAACGCGAGGAGTTCTGTAAAAATGTTCGTTCTCCCCATATTAGAGGAATGGAAGTTAAAAAATAGGGCTTATGAAAATATAAATCGACTAATCTCCCGGAGGATTTTGATAAATTCAAAGGAATAAGAAAATATCTTAATACAAACAAGAATAATGCCTATGACATTTCCATTGGTGGTGTTGAAATTTCGCAGGGTTGGAAGTTGATTAACCATATTATGGGACAAGTAGATCAAATGTGTTATGAAGCAGGAGGACTCTGTCAAAAAATAAGGCACTTTGTGACAGTGTTATTGAAGAGTCCATTTAATAACCTTCACACGTATCAAATAGTAAAGCTTCCTCCACATCATTTAAACATCCATCTTCCCCTGTGATTGTTCCTCGCGAATGACATTCGACTGTTTTAATGAAGCCCCGACCCCACCGGTGCAGTTATCACTGATATTTGGAGGCACTATTAATATTCATAAAGGAGGTTGCAGATGTCTGTTTGGAAGAAGTTCTAACTCCACGGTGTCAGACTAATTGCCCCGGTCCGTGTTGTGACGAGGATTAATTAATTTTCGGGGCCTTAATTCGAATTTAAATCGGCCAGTGTTTTGTTAATTCCGCTTTGTTAATTGTGCGGACAGCCCGACGTAATACCGGCCGGACTCCGACCGGCCGAATTTGCATTTGACCATTTATTTACGTTGTTAATTTAATTTCGAACCATTTTTCGTTTGTGGGTCTCTGAGCGCGGCTGGCAGCTCAACAGCTTTCCCGGCAGTAACAAATCCTCCGGTATTTGTTTTCTGCTGGATCGATTCGGTGTTTATAGGGCAGGATTTCTCGCCTTTCACGGCAAGGACGAAAATTACCGATAATTCCGATCAGCAACGGAAAGATGTGAAATATGTATTTCACGTGAAGGAAAACAAGCGTTATATTTGATACTAATCTTTCAAAACTTGAATTAAAATTGATTTAATTTATGTTACTGAAATGCTATCAAGGTTTTCAGATTCATTCTAAACACAAACTGTCTGCTTTTGATTTTACCAGATAGAAATACCTTTCAATGATCGACCAATCAGATGTCTCAATAATATTGTAGGTTATTGATAAAGTTTCAAACTATCTTTAGAACTTTATATCTTTCTACAAAGTTTCAATATACTCCGAATCTGTTTGAAACATTTCTATTAAAAAGTATAGAGAAACATACCTTTCGAGGTGTTTCACAATGTCTTCGTAAGCTGCTCTGCAGTTTTCCCATATGCCAGATCTGGAAAAAGAAAGAAAAGTCAGTGTTAACAGTTTCTCTATTGTCAAAAGAATGCGAAATATGGTAAATGTATACGATGTAAATAAACCTATGTGCAAAAAATGAAGGAAGTTGTTGAAAATGAAGGAAGGTGTATCTTGTAAAAAAATATCTCCGTCCGGATTTATGATCGATCAAACAGAGACCCTCTACAAAATTATAATACAAATCATTATAATACAGTGTATCGTAACATAATTTATTGTTTGCTCAATAGAACAAATCAAATCCCTGTCTTTACTTTGAATTAAGAAGTACTATTTCAAATAATATTGGAGATAATCTATTTTTGTGGAGAAGGTAAAATCCAATTGCAACATAAAGTGTTCTTAACCACCTCTATGCAAGAGTTGATTCGAACCCTGTTTAATTAAGTCCCAAAAACCCTCCATGTTCTCTAAATAATTAAAAAATGTTTACATTTCAACTCTTTTAAGGAAAAATTACAATGTTCTAAATCTGATCAAATGCCAAATCAACGATCATCTTAACTGCAATTGCCATTTAACGACATTGGAACCTCTATTGTCGCCACTGTCCATATACAGCCACTGTAGTTCCGTATAACTAACTTCTTAATAACATCGATGCAATAGAAGAGAGCCGGAATTACTTTCCTCAAGTCTCGTGCACGATCCGCATGATTTTCAAAGACGCGGTGCATTAATCAATACAATCATCGCCAACTAATGGGAATGGGAGACGCATAAACCATGCAATATAAATAGCCGGGCAAATTAATATTTGTATTCAATTTATTTACGTGTCGAACATTGAGACAAATGCGAGGCGAGCTAGCTAGACGGTCTACCTGTGGAATTAATCATGGCGCTTCTCCGTGACGTGTACACGCATCCAAAGGCCGGATTTGCATTTTAATTGCGAGCGAGCGTTGAAATGATAATGACGACTCGAACAACCGTGTAAACAAGTAGACTCCTTGCAGACTGTATGCAATACCAATCGCCCGGCACGGTGGAAAAAGTGGATCGCGATTTGAAATGGGTGGGATAGCAATCACGGGTTAATAGGCATACCACTTTTACTAGTTTCTGATCGTGGAACACAATTTTTCCGACATAAAATATAGTCAATGTATTTAAGATCCATAGCTGTATAGTGAAGAGAAGATATAGGCGAGCGGTTCACCCCTAAAAAAAGGCATGACCCGACTAAATTTTTAAAACAAAAACCTACAGCATGAATTTTTTTTTATTTTATAAAGTATATTTTTCTGATAATTTAGGTACATATTTTTTATATTTTTCGCCGTGGTCAGTCAAAAGTTGTAAAAAAAATACTGGCCGAATAACTTTGAAAACAGTTTTATATTGTGTGGGTACACATGTTCGCAAGTGACCCATTTTTAAACACAACGTCAAGAACGCCGCCGGACGCACCATGGGATTCCCAGAAGACGACCCCTGCAGAGTGGCGCCAAGGAGCAGGGACTTCTACCAGCAACTACCAATATACCTACGACCGACTCGAGACACAAGAGGACTTTCCAACGAACACTCACACCGTCAACACGTTTCTTCCACACAAGTTTTCTATACATTAGTTTTCAATAAAATTCTTTGAGAGAGCGTTTATTTCTTGCTGTACAGCGAAAGCAACCCTTAATTGTAAAATAAACACTATTGTTCTTTAACAAAAATCCGAAAAATGCTTCGTTTCCGAGATATTTACAATTTAATGTGAAAAACAGTATATGACAGTTACAATTTTTCATAGAATATTTTCCATTACATGAACAAAAATATTTTTGAAGCATATCTAACGCAGTTTTTCTCCTTCGAAATAATTAAAATCCAAACAATTAATATCTTATATATAAAATTCTCGTGTCACAATGTTCGTTCCCGTACTCCTCCGAAACGGCTTGACCGATTCTCATGAAATTTTGTGAGCATATTGAGTAGGTCTGAGAATCGGCCAACATCTATTTTTCATACCCCTAAATGTTAAGGGTGGTCCACCCCAAAATTTTTTTTTATTTTTTGGACAAAATTTTCTGTTTTTATTTTTTCATGATTCAGCATTGAAAAATACATACAGTTCTAAATTTTCACCCTTATACGATTTTTATATTTTTTTGTTCCATCCACAATTCCACAAGATGGCAAGACAACGTTTGCCGGGTCAGCTACTACTTTTATTGCCCTTAATATTTTTGTAAAATAAAAATAAAATAATTATCCTATACGATAAATTATCCAATAACTTTTTAATTTTTTGAGACCGCTAAGTCAATTTATTATTATTAGCGTAATCGAATATTTAAATTTTACTAATTACTTGCAAAAAGCTTACTTCGGCTACAAAACCAAACAAAATGATCTTTTGAACATTTGTACTGTTAACATATATCGATATTAAAAAATCATAATAAAAATTTAATTTGAACTGTTATCATAATTTTCTTTAAAAGACTTTTAACTCGCTTTAGACCTTCAATAAAATGATGGACCCATACCAAAAAAATATATCTTAAAGTAGAAAATCTGCCGATTATTATGCTTTTTTATAATTAAAATCTGTTCAGTAGTTTTTGAGAAAAAAATTCCGAAAGTTTGTCGATTTCGCCACTTTTCGAATTTTTGTCAAAGAACAAAAAGTGTTTATTTTGGTCCATTTTACAATATAAAACTTTCAAAGCGATTCGGCGAGTAATTTTTTTTACAACTTTTTTGTTTATAATTGATTGACCACGCCGAAAAATATAAAAAAAATATGTATTAAATTATTAGAAAAATACACTTTATAAAATAAAAAAAGTTTCATGCTGTAGGTTTTTGTTTTAAAAATTTAGTCGGTTACCTTCATTTAGAAACATCTTTTTAGGGGTGAACCGCTCGCCTAATATGTTCTATAAGAGATTGTTTTTTTAATTAATGGACCTTTCCTCTTTATACTGATGTCTAACCGTGGCGCAACATTTTTCCAGCATTACACAATAGTTGCTAGGTTGCAGATCCAGCAGATCCAAAAGTCGACCAAAACACACACTTAATAAATGGTTTTGGGCGTATAAAAATTCGACCGATATGGCGGCCCAATGTGACGCCTGCAAGTGTAAGAAAATTTAGGATACATCCAATAAACTACCTCCAGTACTACTAATAAATCCGTCTCCAAACAATCTTAATGGGGACTTCGAGATCGCTGTTCATAAATCTAAGTTATTTTCAAGGTGGCAGTTTTTATACCTATAACTGCTTAGCAAGCCATGAACCACAAAACTCTTATTCAAACATAGTTCAATGGTCGATTTCACAGACAAAACAAGTCAGACTAGTCATTTCCTATGTTTTCGAAGTCGCCGAATCATAAATTACAGTCTCTTGGATAGTATCGTATCACTTTCCAATCCTAACCTCAGAAGATATTTGAAAAATTACGACATTTTAGTCATATCGCGAATTAAATCGTTAGGGACTAGTTGTTTCTAATGTTTTTGGGGTCGCTAACTCGTAATTTAAAGTCAGTTCGATAGTATTATGTTACGTTCTGATCCTAACCTCAAAAAAATTTTTAATAATCGTAATGCTCCACATTTTCAACCTCAACTCCAAAAAGACTTGAAAGTAACTTTTTAACATTATTTGTACGCCACTTAAAGTGTTTCAAAATGAATATATTTTTTTACATTGCGGTTTATTCTAAAGCAAAATGGTCTCTTACTATTTTTAAATGAAATGCTTGGTTTTGAAAAAAATAGCTTCTTATGGATTCATCACATGTGAAAAGGTTAAGTTAACCATAGTAAGAGACCTTTTTGCTGTAGAATAAACCGCAATGTAAAAAAATATATTAATTTTGAAAAAATTCCAGTGACGTACAAGGTCCTAATCATAAAAAGTGAATCACCCTGCATATGTAAAATCTGTCCATGGTGCAAAAAAGTACAAGTTACAACGTCTAAGCATCAAAGATGAAAAATTCGTCTTTTGCTAATGGAATTATTTTAATGAACAGATATCCGTCTTTTCTAACATCTGACCACAGCACAACATGATATATTATATTATTTCGTAATATTAACATATCTTGGACACATAGGTATCTTAAAAATAACTCTTTATGTTTGGTTCAAAGAATCGATTACCTGAACAAAACAAAAAGTAGTTAAACTCTGTTATACTTTTCTGAGGAACTGACGAATACTAATGGAACAGTTTTGTTCCTCTTCGACTAAGCTAACAATAAGACGAGAAATAGGTGTGTTAATATCTGTCTATCCAATTAATAGATATCTCTATTAATATCTCAACATGGTGCAAAATTTATCCCACAAAAAAACTAGTCAGTAGGTCGAAGATCCATAACTATGCAGCTAAGTATAAGTTCCATCGTCCAGACATCAAAAATGAAAAATTAGTCTTTTGCTAATACTCAACATAAAGAACAACTCTTTGTGTTTCGTCCAACAAATCGATTGTCTAATCAAAACAAAAAAGTTGTCAAAATATTTCTGAGGAACCAACGAATACTAATGGAGCAGTTTTGTTCTCATCTGATCTTCAGGTGTTACATTGTTAAGTCAGGAATATAATAACCCCGGCAAAAACCAGATCGAGTCTGCTATTTGAAATGGGTGGTACGCAATCAGGATTAAAAAAAAATAATAGACATTTGCATATACGCACCTTTTTTCCGAGACAATCCCGTCTTGCTTCTACGCTAATAACTACGCCATGGCGTAATAAGCGGGTTACGGAGGTTTGGGTTTAATTATTTATCAACTTGGAGGTATTTGGTTCTTTTTTTGTGGTTAACCACAGAGCCACCAGTATAAAAAAAACCAACTACTTAAACAGAAGTTACTAATTGTGTGAGGCGATTATTTATAAGATATGTCTTCTGGTTTCGGTTTATATTTGTTCATTTTAAATTATTTTTATCATAATCTCACGTAGCAAAATCGTTTGTGCACTACGGTATATTTTATGTTTTTT